AGTGGACTGTGTGTTGTTTATTTATTATTGAAATGTATCACCAAAAAGTCACAGACACCTACTGTAAAGAATCCGGCCCATACATAAAACCTGACAAATATCAAGAAACGAATATGTGAGGATACAAAGTTCCACAGTTGCATTTCAATTTTATCAATATTTGTATAAAACTTCAATAATTATAACTGATTCCTGTCATTTTTTATTCCTCACAGTCAATCTAAACTTATATTTTATATGATCATATATAAACTGTAACCAAGATATTTTTATAGCCAAACTATAAATTCCAAGGTAATAAGTTAATAATTAAGATATATATACACAATAATTTTTAAAATTCTGATAAGTTGGCATAGTAATCAAAGTAGATGCAATTCAATGTGACATACACCAATGCAAAAAAACAACATAAAAAAAATAACTGTATGTAATTGTATTGCTACAGCCAAAACTTTTGTTATACAACTGTGAGAAAATATTCCTGAAATTAAATTAGTTTGGCCTAGAGCTCAAAATTTAGTCAATATTACTTTGGGTATAAAGAACAAAAAAATTAAAACATCATCAACTTTGAAAATAAAAATTGGTTTTTATTTTTGAAATACTTAATTTAGAAAAATTAGAAAAAAAATACCACAAGAGTTTTAGAGAATGATTTAAGCAATTTTCAAGATTGATTACCTAACAGTTATTTTTTCTCTTATGTTTAACAGTTTTTACACAGCTTTTCATATTGCTAACATAACATACAGACAACAAGAGACATTTGGTCCTTCAAAACTGGAAGAAAATATTTGTTGATTTCTTAACTTAGAGTCTTCGTTGATTAAAGAGGTTTGTTTTTTATTAAAAACGTTGGCGATATAACAGAAAATAGCCTACTTCAGAAATCGGTGATTCTCAACCTTTTTGAATACATGGAACTCTTCTGGTGTTAAATTTGTGTCGTGGAACCCTTCACAGCGTTCATTACAAAAAATATTACTGCAATACTATATCAATAATTCCAGACAGAGTCTTTATGTTTAATGCAGCTATATACCCACACACATACATGCAAAGCATGATAAATTTATTGAGCCAATTACTCAGGCACACATGCATGCATAATGAGAAGCGTGCACTCAAAAAATAAAAGTTTACATGACTCAAACCGCTGTTTGTATCTAGTCTCATTATGAAACATGAGGTAGTGAAACTTCAATTATGTGACTAGTGTGTATTTATGCATTAGAATGTTTGCATTCTGCAGAACCCCTGGATATCTGTTGAGAAACCCTTGGGTTGCTCAGAACCCCAGTTGAGAAGCACCGATCTAAATAACAAGTCATTTAAAAAATTAACAAATCAGTAAGGCAAGATTTCCCTTCAGTGAATCCATGTTGATTTTATGATATATTTCACTAAATGGTTTTGTAATGCTTCTTTTATCAGACTCAACTTTTTCCCATTACAGAAGTATGAATAACTAGGCCTTAATTTCTAGGGTAATTTTTATCGCATATTTTAAAAACAGGAGTAAAACTAGCAATTATCCAGTCCTCAGGCATCTATTCATTGTTTATTAACCTACCAAAAATCAAAGGGAAAGGTTCTCCTATATGATCTTTGACCTTCTTATATGAATCAGAAATCCATAACGAATTTTTTCTATAGGCTTAGATATAAGCAGGCTTGGATGAACAGCCTATCTGACTGCTAGCCAAAATCAATCAACAAAAGAACGTAAATTTTTAAACTCTGAAATGAAATAATTTGCAATACTAATGGTAATAAATCATATGTTCAATAACTTGAATATGTAGCACTATTATGTGGTTTATTAAAAATAACACAGTGAGCAGTATAAACAGATATTTTAGTTTTAGAAACAAGCACTTGTTTACTGTCTGCAGCTTTAAATTAAAAACAATTTACTCATTTTAAAAGCAGGACCCGAAATTCGAATTTTTTTTAAATTCAGGTGAGACTTATCTTTGGATTATAAAATAATAGGCCCCTTATGAGCCAGTGGGGGACATTTTTGTTGAAAACTACCCAACCCAGTTTTTTTAAATTTTGAACTGAAATTTTTTGGACATCTTTATTGGCTACAAAGAAGGCATTTCCCACACTCTTTTAGTGTTGGGGCTACAAAAAGTGATCTGAAGTGGTAAGGTGACTGCTATCGGTCGGCGCATCACAAGCTTAATGGCCAAGCACAAGAAGCATGGAAGTCTCCAAATGACACACAGAAGTATTTAGGAACCATTTAGAGCCACCTTGGTAGATATTGTGCAGCAAGCCAAACACAATATTATACCTGTACTGCTTTCAAAGTGTTCCTGACTGCTCATCCAACTGCTGACTATCGTGATGCTTTGCCTTTCCCTACCGAATTGCACGTAAAATAATTTGTATCTCAATTGAAAGCTAAAGATAAAATGGTGATAACAGAAGCATAAAAGGTTGACAATTGCTTAATCAATGATGCTGAGAATGTGGCTTTATTGATATATATTGAATTTACTCCCAGCAGATAAACCTTAGTACTAGCTAGTAGTAGTATGGAGACTAGATGATGCTGTATTTCACTTTAAAATTTATCAATTAACAAATGAAAACTTGTCTCGAAAAGATACGTCCAAAACCACCCTCTTTGGGAGTTTCCGGATTGAACTTACTTTTAATATTCAACAAATTGTAGTGTAAAGACTAAAGACATCCCTTGGGTCCTGAAGCCGAAAGACGTGTTGAAAATAAAAATCGAATTTAGTCTAGCATCTAGGTTAACAATCAAAAAGCCAAGACTAGAAGTTAATTTTATTTTTACGGATTAGAAAACACCAAGTTGTTAGATAAAAAAATGCCACATTAGACCTTCTTATAGTTACACTACATTAATAAAAATTAAATTGGGAAATTATTACTAAATTGTTGTAACTCGCTCACCATATACTCCAGGCATACGAACCGACATATTCACACCCAAATTAATTTCTTTGGGGCTAATATGATACTTAATTTGACTTGGAATTTCATCAAAAAACGGGTTTTTCCTTTTAGCCATTATAAAATAACGATACTTAAGTTCTCAATACAAATTACTTTGATTTTTTTTTTGTATGTTGCTCTATTCTATTTGTTTTCTTTCCACACATACCCGCTTAAATTTCCATCACACCCCCTGTTGTCACTTTTGATTAATACACCTATGTGCAATAAAATTAATGTTTCAGATATTTAAAAGACAAAACCAAAAAAAAAAAAAAAAATTAACGAGTAAGGTATGCATATCACAACCATAATCCTTAGAAACTTTAATGAAATTTTATATATGTTTTAATATGCTCATTTTGTTTATTTTTAATCATTTGTTTGGGCGCCGAGTCAGCAAAATATTTAATTGTACTATATAGTTAACTTTAACTTCAATTGATTTATTGTCGGTTAGGTCAACGTTTTGTTATTTTTAGGTTTACGAGTGAAAATATTGAGCCCCCAGTAGCACAGCGGTAAGTCTGCGGATTTACAACGCTAGAAACCGGGTTTCTATACCCGTGGTGGACAGAGCACAGATAGTCCATTGTGTAGCTTTGTGCTTAACTTCAAACAAACAAACAACCAAAATATCAAAAAATTTAGTAGGAGGAGGGAAAGAATTGAAAACCGTAATATATTAATAAAATACATTGTTGCGTATCTGCTTGTTTGTTAATTTCTGGTATAAATTCTTTCCGAGGAACTTCAGCGATACAAGTCCCTTCTTGATTAAAACTTGTTTATTCTTTCTCGATACAACTTTGTAATACACAGTAGTTTCGTAATCAATACGTTTCTCGTCTCTTTACTTAACAACCTTTATAACACACGCTAAGACTTTTCAGTTGGTCTTTCAAGGAATAGCTGGTGAAAACTAACTGGACCAAGTGCGTTCTTTGTCATTTAGTCACACTCGATGCTTTACAATGTCCAGCTGACTCGAAGTGTGTGGTGTTAGGGCTGGTCAGGGTTATTCTACCCTAGTGCGATTCCATAAGTTATGATGAACTGTCTATTCCCATAGACATTAAACGACTGGATGAAGGGAACGGTGTAGAAGCCACTCTTATGGAAAACAAAACAAAATGACACAAATCCTCCCATACAAAGTTCAACATCACAAAACTTCAACGAGCAGTAAAAAGGAAATCAGCCCAAACAGGGCCCGGCATGGCCAGGTGGTTAGGGAGCTCGACTCGCAATCTGCGGGTAGCAGATTCGAATTTCTGTCCCACCAAATATGCTCGCCCTTTCAGCCGTGGGGGCGTTACAATGTGACGATCAATCTCACTATTCGTTGGTAAAAGAGTAGCCCAAGAGTTGGCGGTGGGTGGTGATGACTAGCTGCCTCCCCTCTAGTTTTACACTGGTAAATTATGGACGGCTAGCGCAAACAGCCCTCCTGTAGCTTTGCGCGAAATTCAAAACAAACAAACAAAAGAAAAGAAACCCAAACAGATTGTGATCCTTGTTCAGCCACACCCAAGAAGTACACTCGTCAAACCGAGCACCAGGAAAAAGCAAATAAGGACATCTACTTTCTATGCGAGAATGTGTCGACAACTGAACTTCGTAAAGCATCAACATTCCACGTGTACTCTCGTGTTAGAAAACGTGCATTGGAGTTACAGGATGAGTGTCTACTTACGAAATTAAGTGCAAGGGGACATGGTGACACAAGATGAGAAATATCACCCGATGGGGATGTGATTGTACTCGAATGGCTCATCATACTGCTGTACGACAGAACTAGCAATAAAGTGACATAGACGAAGGTCGTCAAGAACTGTTCACGAGAAAAAGACAAGCGATGGATGCACTCCCACTGAACAGAGCGGCCCTACTCCAACGTATCAACAGAGCTGTATATCAGGGTGGTTACTGCTGGGGTGAAGCGATCAGAGTTAACCTTTACATGCCTTCCCTGAAGCCAGCACTGCATCAAGATAAATCATTCCAGCTGTTGCAAGAAATGTTGCATTGCAGAGGTCGCCGCAACTGCAAGAAAGCAGCATTAAAGTACACTGCATTATATCAACCTTGTGGCGGGTAAGATTGTGACAGGTAAGTTGTGCGGCATCAAAGTTAATGACTGTTAAAGTTTTTTTTACTACCGCGCTTGACTCAATTGTCCGTCTCTGTCTGTCTGCAATTATCTATATATCTATGCCGTTACTTCTCGCCAGTCTTATATACTATAAAAGCGCATGTCTAGCAAACGCTAGCGTCTTCGCGAATCTTCTAGACACTCATCACGTGTTACCAGCGTCACGTGACTTCCGCTGTCGTAACAATATCATCAGATTTCAAATATCTGTTAGTCAGGACACAGAGAAGAGTGTTCTCAACCAGTTGAGGTGGCATATCTAAAGTGTCAAATGATGAAAGATTACATATCAGAGAATTCATAGCCGCTTTCATTCCCTTTTTTATGGGCATAGAGAGACACATGGCAACAACATCCACACTGAATAATACAGTGTTAAGGATAATAAGGAAATCGTCATTCCTCAATCTTCATTCTAAAGAAGCTACTACTGTTGGACACTTTCTTATGAAACATGGTACAGTAGGTAACACACCATTTAACATTAAGTTCTTAGCAAAATGTAATAATTTCTTTGATCGTAAATTCAGAGTCTTCCGTTTCGACCTTATAAATCTAAAATAAAAATTAATAATTCTTGGCCTTTGTATTAATTATTATTATTATTGTGTATGTCTTAAATAGCTCGTAATTTTCTGTCTCTTTGTCATTCTACTTTCTTTTTAACGTGCTTGCGATAGCACGTGACATTACCATTGTTAAGTCAGTTTTTAATTGTTGCAGGATTTTTTAGGTTATAAGTTTGCATTTGTATGTGATGCTACAACACCTGAGAAAGGCTTAAGCCAAAAGCCCGGCATGGCCAGGTGGATAAGGCGCTCGACTCACAATCTGAGGGTCGCGGGTTCGAATCCGCATCCCACCAAACATGCTCGCCCTTTCAGCCGTGGGGGCGTTATAATGTGACGGTCAATCCCACTATTC